ACAAACAAACAAACAAAGAAACTTGCCACGGCCCTGCAGACACCTCGATCTCAATCTGTACATCCTCCTCTTTGCTGGGTCATCTACCTCACTTTCTGTCTTCCTCAACTCTCCTGCTGTTGCGTTTCCTGTGTCTTGGTTGGTTTCGCTCTGTTTCTGGTTCAGCTGACTGGGGCCCATGTGTTCAGAGCTTTAGTTGTGGTATGGAACGAGAGCCAAATTAACGCTGCATGTTGCCATATGAGACTCAAGTACACAAGTAACACGGAACAGATGGACACCAGAGTCTGGTTGTTGGAAAAGTATTTTCCACTGATGTTGCAAACTCCTGTCTTACTGTCAGTAAGAGAGAAAAAGGTGCACTGAAAGAAAAACATAGCATAGATGCAGAGAAAAGAAAGTGTAAAAATAAATGTAAATACGCATAAGCACATATTCAAACACATTTTGACTTTAACTGTGTAACTGCAATTCTGTTGATTTAATGAGGCGTAACTCCACATTTGGCTTTTTAAGACGGCCTATTACTGGAAATTCTAAGATTTTCTGCTAACTGAAAGCTCAAGATAAGGTATCACATGACCCTGATGAGACAGAAAGGCAAAGACAAAGCTTTACCATACATGCCAACATATGTAAAAATGTGCGTGTCAATGCACAGAGAGAGAGGGAGAGCACTTACATACAGACAGAGAGGGACAAACCTCCCAGAGCAACATGATACATAGTGTAGGCACACGTACACACAAGCATGAAATGTAACCATGTGGGAAAGATTAAGGCTGGAACAAACACACACACACACACAGCTGGGATGAGATGAGAGGGGTGTGATTAAGATGAAGTCTACAGGAGGTCTGGGGAAACATATCCGCCATCAGACTGTCCCAGTCTGTGGGAATTGACTCTGGAAGACAGAATACCACGATTTTCCTGGCAAGATGCTAACCTTGTCTGTAACCTTGACTACTGAACGACAGATGAAATGAAAAGTAGAAACAACTACCTCGGGTGAGAGTGAGTCAAAGCTGAGGAAGGTTATGAGATAACTCCAAGACTTAAGGAAACCTGCACATTAAGATACTGAACAGTAAGCGATATAATAGAACCAATGCCACACATTCGCTTACTCCTCAGCTTTTTCCAGGTGTGGACTAAATGATACCAAGACAGGAATGTTAATTGTTTACGGGTCACAGTGTCAGTTTGTCCTCATTGAGATACTTGAGGCCGAGACAAGATAGAGAATTTAAGGTTAAAGTCTCAGACAACATCGAGGACATTATGGAGACTTCTGCTCGTTTCAGCTGACATGACAAGATTCACTTCTGCAATAAAACAAATGTTACATTGCCTAGACTTGATTATTTTCTCATTCCATCTGCAAAACAGAACAAAAGACAGACCTAAAATCAGCTTATATAACTGCCAATTTAAGAAGCTATATGAACAATAATTCCTTCCTAGCAGTAGGTTTTCGTGAAGGGGAATTGGCATCATTTTGCATCCAATCACTAAAATTAAATTAGGATGACTTTTAATAAATAAATAAAAATAAAACTTTCTTCTTGTTTTCTTTTCTATTGAAAAACATGTTTGAATTATGCAGTCTCACTCCAACATCATTAAGTTTACTATTTCATACCTTTACTCTTGGGCCAATATAAATGCTATAGCCAGTGTTAAACTATCACAGGAATCTGCATAGTACTAATATGTCCACAGCTAATATTGAAGCATGAAAGAGATGGCGTAGTCATAAATGAAAGCTCTAGCCTCATACGAAGATTAATTTTGTCTGTTTGAGTTTGAACCACAACTCCTACTTTTTTTATAGTAAGCAAACAAACCACGGTATGCAGATGTGATTTTTCTAGTGATTTGTTAACAGAGCAAAATCCTGGACAGGAAAAATGCAGTAATTTACACCTAGACTACAAAGATGAAAAAATATATGCTTTCACATGCCAGGCTATCTGAATTAAGCAGGTTAAAGCTGTGTTTAGACCGACATTAGCGCTGCATCTAAAACATGGCTCAACTTCTGCCCTGAGCCTTGACTGGGGCTTTCTCACGCGAATACATTATCAGTTTCCATGCAGCTTCCTCTTTTGTGCTAAATCAGCTCACTGATATTACTGCCGTTTCTCACACATAAAGACACGCACATTCTCACACACAAAGACATAAATAAAAATACATATGACCCTACCCCATGGATTATTATTTTCTGTGCAACCGATAGATGTATGCAGCGGGCAGGCTTGCATGCTCACACATCTACACACAGTCACAGAAAGAGGCCACAGATGTGTGAAACCCCAATTTACATCCACAAAAAAGAAACTGCACCAACACAATATATAACAGCAACCCAAACATATTGTGTGTTTAAATGACTTCTTTTAGAGCATCAACACATGGGCTTTTTCTTGTGTATGTTAAAATGTGAGCATGCAAGTCCACAGCTCTCGTTCCTTTTAAGGCCATACTCAGGGCCTTAACTCTCTGCCCTGCCAAGATTACACAGACAGACACACACACACACACACACACACCAGTGGGGGAGCACTCAGAGTAGCAATGCAGTTGGCCAACTTAAGCAGCATTGCAATCAGCCAGGAAAATCCTGCCAATTCTGATACATACATACATACATACATACACACACACACACACACACACACACACACACACACGCAGCTCTGGCTCTATCATCAACTGAATTACCTCACGCACATGGTTAGAGCTGCAGCTGGCAGAAGAGTTGAGGGCTGCTAAATATAAAACACTACAAGCACACATACATACACACACACACACACACACACACACACGCATGCTCCGTTTGTGCCAGAATATACACAGAGACTGAACTCGGCTTCCAGTGACCTTATAGATGGCGGAGGCTAGGACAGCAGTGAACTTAGCCACTGTGATTACTGGTTTGGGGATCTTGGGGGACTGGGTGTGCAAGCACATACAGCCTTGCAGCTGGCCCCGTCTGGAAGTATTGCAGGGTTATATGCCATGAGGTCTCATGTGGGGAGCCAAGCATACATATTTAAAAAAAAAAGAAAGAAAAAGACATCCTGCTGTGCTGTGGTGAGCTGTCAAGCGAAGTCAGGGGACGGCAAGCTGAATCTTTCTTGTTCCAAACTTAAAAATGCAAGTTACTCCAACAAATATATTTTACATATGACACTTAAATATTTTCTGATTGTTGAGTTGATGTATTAATCATGAAGGAATAAGCAGAAAAGTTGTCACTGGCTGAAACAAACCCCAAACAAACAGGAAATAGTGTAGGAGGCATATCGACTAACCAAAGACTAAAAGAAGACATGAATATTGCAGATTCTTTGAGGTAGTTAAGCACAAAAACAAGCTGATACATTAATGCATGAAAATTACTGTATTCTAAAGAAATGTGTGACAGGCACAGACAGATTAAATCTGTCTGCACTCATAGGAACAGTAACTCAATTTCTTCAAGATCAACTAGGTTAAATGGCCAACAACATGACAATCTCTTACACCATCCAAAAAAGTTCTCAGCAGGAAACATTTTATGGAGATTTAACAGTGACACTGCTACTCGGCACGCAAGGCAACAACAGACTAATGCTCTGATTAGTTTTCATTAGTCTAAGCTGTGACTAGACTAGTAAATTTACCCTTTGGCTTTTTGAGCTTGGTTAACACCAAAGCCTGCTCAACATCACAGCACACTCTGTAGCTGCAGTTAAAAGACAAAATCAATCAGTGAATGTGATGAAAACCACCAATACATCACACAGAGACAAAGCTACAGTAAATGTCATCACTGCTTTGGTCTTGTTTTGACATGTGGCAAAGTGTACACCAAAAGATGCTTCTTAGACGTGGCAAACTATCATTTATGAAAACAAAACAAACACAGAGAAAAGAGATGATTTCAGAAAAGGAGGGGGGAAACCCCTGTGACTAAAACAGCTGGAAACAGGAAATGCCTTTCTGCCTGTGAGTTAATTTAGAGTATGTATATGCATTTGTGACACAGCCTGGCAAACTGACACTAACCAACCTTTTAAAGGCTTCTGTGAGTTTCCATCTTATTGATGACCACACACAGATCTCCAGAATTATCTATCGTGCACAAGCTGTGGGACCTGCTAGCTGTTAAACGCTTCAGTGCTGTGCCGAGTTCTGAGAAGAAGCTCAACAAACATTTGCAAAATGCAGACACGAGATCCTGTGAGACACAGGGTAACATCCTATGAAAGCAGTGCTCTACTGTGCTAAGAACAGCAGACACTGATTATAAGCTGCATATCTGCAGTGTTGTAGAATATCTGTTTGTTACAGCTCAAATAAATGTCAACAAACATAAAAATCATTAAATGTTGTGAAGTACAGTATATATTTTTAAACAAATCAATAAATAAACTTGAATAGGTTTCACCCTGTACTTAGGTTTGACCTGTAAAAAGAACCTATTATGCTCAACAAGCCATTTTAGCTCCTGTCTCTTTAAGGCCCCCTTTCTGATGCTCAGCCTTGTTTTCAATTTTGCTCAGTGACCGCTGTCGGTATTTCAGCAAAAAAAATCCCCTGCGGCCCAAATAGCATTTTCCCCCAAAGAACACTTTTATAAAGGAGGCGTCTGTAAACTGTTGACAGGACTCCTCGAACTGCAATGTCAATGTGTTTGATGAACCAATGAAGTGTGTAGCATAACTACAGGTTATATATTATAACACACTTGATCCATCATACAAAAACTGAGAGTATGATAACATGTGCAGACAACTGCTAATGCTACTAATGTTACTACCAAAATAAACCTGAAGACAGACAGTAAATATGGTAGACAGTATGTGCTTTTCGAGTGCGGTAAATCATATATAGAATGCACGTATACTGTATGACCACAATTTCACCCAGAATCTTTACCTATATCCAATTTGCTGGTTTATATAAATGTGTGTATAAATGTAAGGATGAGCAAATGTTTCTACCTTTGGAGGATCATAAAGCTCCAACTGGTACCTCTCCCCTCCTCCTCTTCCTCCTCCACCACCTTGAGCGTCCCTGTTCCTCCTGACCAGCAGGCGGCAGCGTTGCCAGCGGGGCTGAGAGTCTGAGATAGTGTCATCCACCTGCAAGTACCTCATTTGGCCCTCTTTACAGCAGCCGCTCATCTCTGACCTCCTCTGCCTCATGCTTCCACTGCGTAACCAGCGTAAACGATCCAGGAAGTGAGAGGCTACCCCCGCCATGGACATATGTGAAGAGGCTGGGGGCATGGCTTCAGAGTTAACACAGGAGGAAGAGTGAGGGGATGAGGAGGATGACGACACTTCCTCGTTTGTGGAGGAATTCCCACTGATTCGGTCAACATTATTTGGGGGATTGTTGTTGGTGGTGGGGTTGGGGCTGCTAGGAGACAGGTCCTGGGATGAGGGGGGGCTGGGGAGGGGCCGTTTCTTAAAAAGCTGTCTTACGGTCTCTCGGATTTGACGGACAGAGAAATGTGTGACATCAGCATGTCCAGGGTTGGAGGTTGAGGAGTCCGAAGAGTACCGTTCAGACACCTGACGACGATCAGTGCCAGAGATGTCCTCGTTGCTACGGCTACGAATCAGCAGTGACCCGCTGCCAATACTACGAGTCGAACCTCTGAGCACCTGAGGGTTTCCTGATAAGGAGTTTCCCGCCGCACATCGCAGCGGCTGCTCCTGTTCCCGACTCACCACCACTGGCTCCACTTTTGGTGACACCACAGTAAATGGAGAAGCTCCTCCACTTGGCCGGCCCGCCTCCCGGTAGTCCTGCACCCCAGACAAAGATGTGATCCGCAATCGACTAATCACAGCCTGTGATGAATGGGGAGGAGCCACCGCAGTGGTGGAGGCAGCACTACCGGTGGAGCATGTGTTCGGGCCGAGTGGAGTGCCATCTTTGTCGACCTCACAGCAGAAGTGCTGCTGGAAGAGGTCGGTGAACTGCTTGGAAAAAGTCTCTGGTGGGAGCACGTCATGTTGTTGCCGCTCTCTGGCGAAGCTCCGGTAGTGTCCGGCCAGCTGCCGGGCTGTGGCGATGGCGTGAAGCTCGCAGAATTCCCTCCAGCCTCTCGGGGGCGCTGCCACGCCTGGGCCTCCTCCTGCTGTTGTGGTGGTGTTGATTGGATGTATAGTGTTACCATTCATTGCAGTAACCAGACCGGCTGAGAATCACTGCTGTGAGACAAAGGAGGTTGAAAGGAGAAAGAAAGAGGAAATGTAAAATGGATGGTTGGAGAGGAGGTGGGGGGTAAAGGGGTTGATTTGGAGACAAGAGTGGAAGGATGGACAGTTTAGAAAGAGAAAAAAAAGATGATTGAGGGACAAACAAAGGAGAGATATGGAAACGCAATTAGAGGCAAATCAAGATAATGTGGCGTGTTGTGCAAGAACTGAAGCACTAAAGATGGAACTGGCAAACAGTCCCAGCATTTCTTTGAACTACTTGAAAGTTTGAAACAGTTCAAACATTGAGAAAGCACAGTCAAAAGTCTGATTTTATCTGTACTCAATCTTAAACAGTCCAAATTGGATTACATTGGCCTGCAAAGAATCTCTGGCAATCAACCAGTCATAGAGTATCTTAATAGATAAGAGCGGCCACAGTTCACTCAAAGGACGATGGGTAACCGTTCCATTTGGGGGGAAACAGTTGATTGAATCAAGAACAAAAACACTGTAAGTGCATATATTTAAGGTAAACTTAAAGTGAAGAGAGAAAGTGACGAGAGTGAAGTGGAGTGGAGTCAATAAAAAGGTGACTAAATCAGTTCCACATTTCACTGAAATGGATGACAGAAACTTTGGTATTTGAAATGAATGAAAACAGTAACAAGTCATTTGGACAGACGCTGAATGAGGCCCTGACTGAGGAAGTACAGTTACAGAATTTCTCAATCAACCACACTGCCTCCTTGGCCATCTGTGTGTTTGTTTACATGTGACCCGTTTCAATGTTACTTCTGCTTTTTTTTTTTTCTCTCCTTTCCCAGCTCAAGCCTTTATTATGTCAAGACCATTACATGGACTGTGATTACTTGACGCTACACCCCGATTTCTCACTCAATTAGTCGCTTTGTTTCCCTGAAGAATACATGAATACACGAAGAGGTCTTTTGTCCAAATTCTGTTTGGTCATGTATATGAAAATAAAACAATCCTGGTACCACAGTGAGTTAGTTGAATCAGGGTCAGATCATGTTTTCACTCCTTAATATGATGATAGAACATGCTTGTTTACCCCTAAAAAACACCTCCTCTAAATTTCTGACTAGTGAAGAGAATAACTGCTTACCATTAGTTTTTGAAGATCATCTATAATTTGTCACTGTTCAGTTGGCAGTTTGGTCTTACTACATGAAGAAAAAAAATTCTGGCTGCTAAATGTTCTTGTTGTAGTATGTTTGCCCTTTTTTTGAGAGCAGACTGTAAATGTGTGACAGGAAATTAAGGGAAAGAGAGGAGGGAGCAACAAAGTTCCTGGACTCAAAACATGGATGTTGGGATTATTATAGTGAGCGTCTTAAATGTTTGGCTACCAGGACGCCCTTCTATTTTTCTACGTTTTTGAAGGGGGAGATTTTCCTTGCATACAATCAGGTCCACCAATTTCCCTAAATTGTCCGCATAAATATCTCATCATCATCAGTAGTGTCGACTTTGCTGCAGTCACTCTATGCAGAAAGACATCAACAACACTCAACAGTTCTGGGTCCCATTTCAGAAATCAGGTTTAGTGAAAACTGAGTTTGCTAAGCCTAAGATGATGGAAACTCTGGGTTAACTGTTTCAGAGACCAAGATCAGTAATTATGGCAACTTCTACTGTGAAACTAACGTCCTCAGGAGGTTTTTTGTTTTTTCAACAAACTGTTTTTCTCTGACAACTCCTGTCCTGCAGAGCCTGAAGCAGCTGTCTGACCAAGTGGGAACATCCAGGTCATGCGGAAGTCCCTTAAACCTGCCTTTTTTCTAATGGCCAGCAAGGGGTGACTGCTGTGGTTGCAAAAAGAAGTCCGGTTCCATTAAAATTAATAGCAAAATGAACCTACTTTGCTTTGTTCTTTATTTACCCGTTGCAATGTAAAATTGTATATCGTAATATCAGAGCTCCATTGGTGATAGCTTCCCCCCCCCCATTCCCCACGCACACGCTTCCTTCAGGTTCAACATACTCACAGTTGATTGAACTAATTCTGATCAGCTGACCCAAAAACATGGAGTTTCCCCATCTCAAGCTTAATCAACTCAGAGCTTAGGGTTAGGCTCAGAGTTTGTTGAACCCGCTTTCTGAAACAGAGCCCCGTTCTCCTACAGTTCATGTGCTCTTACCTATCCACCATGGTTTACCATGAAATGAGATGGTGTTTTAGAATTCACCACATAATTCCACAGAAAAGAGGAAACGGGTAGTATTCACTGTCCTTCATCTTGTCAAACACCCTCTTGCCATTCCTGATGTGTGTGTATACTGTTGCTCCCGCGTATGCTCAAGCCATAGTTACAGATGATTATTAGGAGGAAGGACACATTTTCAAAGAACCACAACAGGCCTGAGCTGATGCAAGAGTGGAGCTTCTTGGTTTATGCAGACAGCTGCAGACATGATACAATATTGTATAATCAGCCGCAGTTTCACACTACTGTGATGTAGCAAAACAATGACCTGCATATGTACTTAAATTAAGTTTCATCAAGGGGTGTCTGATTATAAATGATATAATAGTTACATTTGTTGCACAGGATGGCTGAGTATTTCAACAAAAGCAGTAAAAACAGGTGGAATATCTGAAAATAATAGTGCTTCCCATAAATTAACTGCTGAACAGTTGAATAAACTCACAATAAGACATGAGCTACTGTAGTATTACGAAGGGTTTATCATTTTCAAAAGTACAACATGTACCTACAGTACATACCATCATCATCCAGTGCAGCAGAGAAGGGTCTTTTCTTAATACTGGAAGTATGTGTGTGTGTATGTGCATATGGGTGTATGTGGGTCGGTGGGGGGAGTCAGACTGTGGTCCAACAGATCACAGAAAACCACATGAAATGGGGGGTGGGGGGTGGGGGGGGTGTTCGTTGTGGTCGAGCCAAACATGGAGCAACATGTCTCGTTATCTCTCGGCTAACATCTCCCTCTCTCTCCGTGTCCTAAACGACGACATTCAAAGAAGAAAAGTTGTGAATTCTTGGGCTCGTGTCAGGCAACAATTTTTTCATTAGTATCATTAAACATACCAGGGGATACGTACGTCAATGAGGGAGTTAAAACTTGGCAACATGAAATATTGCGTCACTAAAGTTCCTGGATGTGTCCTGTCACAACAACTAATTCCCTTCCTGTACTTTTTAGAGCATGCTCAGTGCATGCCCCCTTGTGCCCCTCCAGCTGGCCCCCCCAGAAGCCTGTTTCTATCTGCATGGCCAGCCCAGCGATGACTCAGCAGTCACTGACTACAGAACATCCACACACACGTACACACACACACACACACACACACACTTCCTCTCGCCGTATCCCTCTGGGGGCTTGGCTGTCTCTGTTCCCATAGTTTTCCTTCTCTTTTCATCCTCTCTGTCCTCTGGTATGAGGATCTCCAGATGTGTTTAGATTCATGCTTCCTTTACTTTTACCTTGACTGGGGGCCTAACGGGGCCACATTCAAGTTGTGAGGGAAAACAAAAAGGCTGATACAGTTTTGTGTCTCCTTTCTCTCTTCTTTTCCAGGACCTCCAACCTCAACTTGTTGCTTTTGTTATCGTATTATTGTTTTGCTAGACAGCATTCAGCAGGGGATGACAAAACAAAATGGGCCAATTCAAACACACTGAGCTGCAAATGGAAAACAATCCTGCACAATAGACTCAAAGCTCCTGCACTCTGTCCTTTGTCTTCTTCACCTTACTCATCACTCCCTCCTCCTACTCTCAAAGCCTACATTCTTTACTGCGACACAAACACGAGCACAGTGATTGCTTTCTTCGTCTCTCTCATGTGCCTTACAGAAATCGGGCACAGCTTTTCCTGCAGCTTCAACACCACAAGCAACCTGAGAAACTGATGTCCTAAGCAGCTAATGTGGCTCACGTCGACAAGCAGCAGGTTTGTTGGCAAGAAAAAAATTTTTTTTAACCAAACAAATGCTACTGTTTACATGTCCCACCTATGACTGTGAAACTACTGAGGCTGCAGCTCAACCACTGTCGTTTAAAAATAGCAAAACAGACAGACAAAGTGACATCTGTAACAAGTAGAAGTAATTTGCCTTTAATGGACAGATGCATGTGTCACAGGTGCAAGAAAAAAAAAAAATTTAAAAAAAAATTGTCAGGCAATTAGAGATACATGAGATCATACAATCTCTTTATCAGAACATTTGACATGAGGTGCACCAAATGGTCAGTTTGGTCAGTCAATCAACACATCATAATCTACACAATTAATTGCCAATGTAATTTTGCAAGCACAAAGTTCAAATAAACATTCTCAGCTTCTCAAATGTGAGGATTTGTTGCATTTCTATTAAGCAATTTGATGAAGATGGAATCTGTGTGCGCGTTTTTCACACTTTCCTAAGGACTATTTGAGAAACCGATTAGCAGATTAATTGATAATGAAAACAATTGCCCTGATGCACTCCCACTTTGGATATTAGGGAGGTTATTTCCTCTGCAACTAAAACATTCAAAATGTAACTTTAGACTGGTATATGAATTGTCTAAATAAACAAAAAAAAAAAAAAAAAAAAAAACACATGTAGCTCAGCTTTTAGCTTCTCCTGACAGGCCAGAAACTGAACTATTCCTGGGGACAGTCTAAAAATGATTTTAATCAAGCAGGAAGGAAACAGGATGTGTGAAAGACACATGTGAATTGATCTTGTCAGCGTGAGTAACCTCATGACTCGTGTCAGCTCACTGAGTTGATTCTTAACACAACACAAGCTTTAATCAACCTCAGGACCTACTGAGGGATGAACTTGTGGTGCAGTGGTATGTCATTCCCGCTAAATACCCGGACGCCAAAATGAAAGAGCTAACAGTGCGTCTGTGGTGGCCAGTAAACAGCATCCTGGTTATGGCCTAAAGGGAGGAGAATTTTCGTCAAACCAGCACTACCTCTAAAATACGCACACTGCCAAG